TGTTGTTTTGCTCTCGTTGTGTTTCTGGTTGTTATGTTTGTTTTTATTTTGTTATCGTTGTGTATCTGGTTGTTACAGCTGATGTCTTGAGCTCTCGACTGGAACATCGAAGGTCTTGAAAAATACGTATATACGTTATTTCATAATAAATTATGATTTTAAGATATTCTAGAATTTCAATGTGATTCCTACATCATATCATACACAAATATGTTACTAATTTATAACTTGAAAGCAAGAAAATGGTATTCAAACAGCTCTCGCGCCTTTTCTTCGCCAGGCTGTTCCAATATGATCTTTCGCCAGCCCTGGCGAACGTTCGCCAGGCATGATTTTAATAGTACGAAAGGTTTTCGCCCGGCGAAACCTTTCGCCAGCCCTGGCGAAAGGTTTCAAAAGTACGGGCCTTAGTTTGTTCTCGTGTTTCTGGTTGTTTTATTTTTTTCTTGTTTGTGTTTCTGGTTGTTATATTTATTGTTAGTTTGTTCTCATTTGTGTTTCTGGTTGTTATGTTTGTTTTTATTTTGTTCTCGTGTTTCTGGTTGTTATATTTGTTGTTATTTTGTTCTTGTTTGTGTTTCTGGTTGTTATATTTATTGTTAGTTTGTTCTCGTTGTGTTTCTGGTTGTTTTATTTATTTTGTTCTTGTTTGTGTTTCTGTTTGTTATATTTATTGTTAGTTTGTTCTCATTTGTATTTCTGGTTATGTTTGTTGTTATTTTGTTATTATTTTGTTCTAGTTGTGTTCTGTGGTGGTTGTGACGTGTGTTAAGGATGGTGGTACTAATGATGAGAATGATGATAATAGTGATGGTGATAATGATGAGAATAATGATAACATTAATGATGATAATTATGATAATAGTGATAACATTAATGATAATGATGCTAATAATGAAAATAATAATAATCGTGGCAATAATGTTGGTAATGATGCTGCTGCTAATGATGATAATAATGATAATAATAAGAAAATAAGAACGATAATAATAATGATGATAATTGTAATGATAACAGTAATAATGATAATGATAATGATCAAGATGATAACGTTAACGATGATAATGAAAATAGTAATATAGGTAATGATAATGATAATCATAATGATAATAGTAACAATAATGTTAACGATAATAATAATTACAATGATGATCTTAATGATTAGGACGATTATGATAATAAGGATGATAAAAAATGATAAAAAGGATGATGGTGATAATAGTGATAATGGTAATAATAACAACACCAATAATGATAATGATAATAATAATGATAATAGTAATAATGATGATGATAATGATGGTGATAATTATAATGATAATAATAAAACTCATAATCATACTAATTATAGTGATGAAAATTATGATATTGACCATAATGATAATGATGGTAATGATAATAATATTGATGATGACGATGATAATGATAATGATGTTAATAACTAATGATGATGATAATATTGATAATTAATATTATGATAGTAATGATTATAATGATGATGATAATAGTAATAGCAGTAATGACAATAATGATAATAAAAGTGATAATGATCATGATGATAATAAAGGTGATAATAATAATAATAGTGATGATAATTATAATGATAATGTTAATGAAAATGATCATGATGATAATAATGATAGTAATAATAAGGATGATAATGATAATGATATTAGTAATAATAATAACAATGATGATAGTAGTGATAAAGATGATAACAATGATGATGATGACGCTGATGATGATAATGATGATCGTAATGGTAAAGATAATGAAGACAAACATGATAATGATAATAGCTATACTTACAGGTATAGTGATGATGGCGTTGATGGTGATATAGTAATGATGGTGAAGATGGCGTTTGATGATATAGTAGTGATGATCGTGATGATGTCGTTCTTTGTTACTCAGTGACAATAATCACCATCAGTCACTGTCACGAATATTGATATCAACAGCAGTAAAAAGTAGCATGACTCTCATTATCATCAGTGACACAAATATTCTCTCTGTGATTATCCTCCTTTTTTTTTTCTGCTTCTTCTTTTGCTTTTTCTTCTACTTCTTCTCCATCTCCCCCCTCCCACCTCTTCCTCCTTTTCTTCCTCCTCCTCTTTCTAATCCTCCTCCTCCCCCTCCCTCCCGCTCCTTCTCCTCCCTCCCTCTCCCCCTCCCGCTCTTCCTCCTCCTCATCCCCCTCACCACCACCATCACCACCTCCTCGTCCCCTTCCTCCTCCTCTTTCTCTTACTATTCCTCCTCCTCCTCCCCCTCCTCCACCACCACCACCATCACCATCACCACCTCCTCCTCCTCCTTTTCTTTCTCTTCCTATTCCTCCTCCTCCTCCCCTCCCCTCCCCTCCCCTCCCTCCTCCTCCTCCTTCCTCCTCCTCCTCCTCCTCCTCCTCCTCCTCTCCTCCTCCTCCTCCTCCTCCTCCTCCCCCTCCTCCCCCTCCCCACCTCCTCCACCACCTCCTCCACACCTCTCCCACCTCCTCCTCCCCTCCCCCTCCCGCTCCTCCTCCTCATCCATCATCATCCCCCCTCCCCTCCTCCTCCTCCTTCCTCCTCCTCCTCCTCCTCCTCCTCCTCCTCCTCCTCCTCCTCCTCCTCCCCCTCCTCCTCCTACCCCTCCTCCTCCGCATAAACATGAAACCACAATACATACAGTGCTTCCCCCTCACAAGGCCTTTGTCGCGGCAGCTTCTTATAACGGACACAGGCAGGACCGGTTACAGTCGCGCGCTAACGTGTATTCATACTTGTAACTTATAACTTATATTAGGCTTGTTGTTTGCGCTGTAGTCGGCTCTGCTCCGCCTTGCGCGTTTGGTGTGGCGTCCTTAGTGCGGCTCTTGGTTGTGTTTTATTTTGTTTTGCTGTTTTTCTGCTGTCTGTTCTTCTCTGTCTCAGTCTGTTTGTCTGCCTCTCTTGTCTCTGTCTCTGTGTCTGTCTGTCTCAGTCTGTCTGTCTCCTCTCTCTCTCTTCTCTCTCTCTGTCTCTTCTCTCTGTCCTTCTCTCTCTCTCTCTCTCTCTCTCCTCTCTCTCTCTCTTCTCTCTCTCTCTCTCTCTCTCTCTCTCTCTCTCTCTCTCTCCTCTCTCTCTCTCTCTCTCTCTCTCTCTCTCTCTCTCTCTCTCTCTCTCTCTCTCTCTCTCTCTCTCTCTCTCTCTCTCTCTCTCTCTCTCTCTCTCTCTCTCTCTCTCTCCCTCTCTCTCTCTCTCTCTCTCCTCTCCTCTCCCTTCTCTCTCTCTCCTCTTCTCTCTCTCTCTCTCTTCTCTCTCTCTCTCTCTCTCTCTCTCTCTCTCTCTCTCTCTCTCTCTCTCTCTCTCTCTCTCTCCTCTCTCACACACACACACACACACACACACACACACACACACACACCACACACACACACACACACACACACACACACACACACACACACACACGCACACACACACACACGCGCAACACGCACACACACACACACACACACACACACACACACACACACACACACACACAACACACACACACACACAACACACACACACACACACACACACTATCTCTCCTCCCTCCCTCCCTCTCCCTCTCCCTCTCCCTCTCCTCCTCCCTCTCCCCTCTCCCCCTCCTCTCTCTCTCCTTTACTTCACTCTTCGTCTTCTGCCCCCCTTCATCCTGGACCTGAAGTGAGGCACACGCGCTCACGTTCACTGCACCGCGCCTCACCCCCTCCGCTCGACCCCTTCTGGGTTTTTGACCGTGACTAACAACTCCCCCTCCCCACCCCTCCCCTCCCCTCACTTCCCCCATCTCCTCCCTCCCCTCCCCTCACTTCCCCCATCTCCTCCCCTCCCCTCCACTTCCCCATCTCCTCCAGGATCCTGTGGAAGTGTCGGGGGAGGGGGGTGTTAGGGGAGGAAGAGGTGTCGGAGAGAGAGGTAGAGGGTGGAAAGGAGTGGGGGAGGATTTAGGAAGGAGGTTGAAGGAGAAGGGAGGGGTCAACGAAAGACTTAGGGAGGAGGTGGGAGGGTGGAAGGAGCCAGGTAGGGAAGGGAAAGGGAAGGAAGGGAGGACGAGGGGGGTTGGAGCACGAGGGGAGAAGGACGAGAAGGATAAGGAAATGGGAAGGAGTAGGAGTTGGAAAGAAGGGGAAGGGAGAGAGGGGCAGGTGGATTGGGGGCAGGGAGGGTAGTAGAGAAGGAGGTGATACTCAGGCCAGAAGGAGTTATACAGGTTTATCCAAAGCGGTTCGTAAGGTCCTCCAGTCCCTTGATGTACGTTTTTTCATCGTGATAATTTAAGAATATTATTTAAGAATACATTTCGCAGTCATGGTGTGAGCGATTTATTTATTATTATTATTATTATTTTTTTTTTGTTGTTGAAATTCATGTTGTAATGGTGGCGCTATTGTTGCTTGTACTTCCTTCCGTCTGCCCTTTTTTCTCGTTTTTCGCTGCTTTCGTTTCTTGTGGGTTTATGGGCTGCTTCTCGATTTCTTGTGGGTTTATGGCTAGCTCTCGATTTCTTGGTCGGTGTCTTGGCTTCTGGGTTAGTCGTATTGCCAGCAGGATGAAGCCAAGCTGGGGACGAATCGCGAGGAAACTTTATCGGTGAGATCCCTATGAGCGAAGGATCAGCTGATTGGTCTTGTTGGCGGGCCGGGGAGTGAGTAGATGATGCAGGTAGATTAGGATGGATGAGGGAAGGTAGGAGAGGTTTTAGGTAGATTAAGGATAGATTGAGGATTAAGAGACACAAATACACTTATAATCACACGGAAATGCTAATCATACATCTCCCGCTTTACTCTCCTATCTTTCTCGTTTTCTCTCTCTCTCTCTCCCTCCCTTCCTCCCCTCTATCCCCCTCCCTCTCCCTATCCCCATCCCTCTCCCTCTCCCCTTCTCCCCCTCCCCCTCCCCCTCTCTCCCTCTCCCTCTCCCTCTATTCCCATCCCTCTCCCTCTCCCCTCTCTCCCTCTCCTCCTATCCCCATCCCTCTCCCCTATCCCCCTCCCTCTCTTCCTTCCGCAGCAGTCTCACCCTCTCCTCCCTCCCCCAGGGCGTCGCAAGTGGCCGGCGCAGGATCGGCGGCGTGCACGTGTCTCCTCGGGTTAGCGCTGTTCATGTGTCCGCTGCTCGTCGCCATGCACGTGACGGCCACCAAGACGCTGGTCAAGTTCAGGCACGCGACGCTGGTCAAGATGGTCTGCACGCGACGTCAGGTGAGAGGAATGGGGGACGGGGTAGGGGGAAGGGAGGGAGGAGGGAGGGAGGAAGGGAAGGGAGGAGAGGGGTGAGGGAGGATGGGAGGTGAGGTAGGGCAGGAGGAGGAGGAGGAAGGGAGGGCTGGATGACTGGATGCATGGATGGAGTGAGAAAAGGAAGGAGGATGGGAGAGAGACAAAACTAGAGAGAGAAAATACAAATAGAGATGTGAGTGAGAGGGAAAGAAAGAGAGAGAGAGAAAGATGATTGAAAGAGAGAGGAAAGGAGAAAGGGAGGTTAGACAGAAAAGAAAGCGAGTAAGGGTAAGAAAGAAGGGGGAGGAAAGAGAAAAAGAATAGGAGACTAAGAAGAAAAGGAAAAGTGAAGGAAGAAAGGAATAGTATATGTGTGCGTATGTGTTTGTGTTGTGTGTGTGAGAGAGAGAGAGAGAGAGGGGAGGAGGAGGGAGGGAGGGAAAAAAGAGAGAGAGAGGTGATGAGAAGAGAGAGTGGGGAGAGGTGATGGGAAAGAGAGAGAGAGAGAGAGAGGAGGAGAGAGTGATGAGAGAGAGAGAGAGAGAGAGAGAGAGAGAGAGAGAGACAGAGACAGAGACAGAGAGAAGACAGAGACAGGATGAGACAGACAGACAGTGCAACGGTATCTACATGAATTGAATTGAACGAAGTACAGAAGGGAAACGAAGGGTGGGAGAAGAACTGAATAAACGCACTTAAATACCTCTCCGTTTTCTATGACTCATCTGCTCGTGGAATTCGCCATCTAGCGACTGTAACGGGAAATAAAAGTGCATCACAACCTTTCAGCATTTTATTTTTTTTTTATAATCTGCGCAGCTTTTTTTTTTATAATCTGCGAGGTATTTTCAAAGTCTGTTATGTTCATTTGTTCATAATTTCCTTAATGCATAATTTCCTTTCATATGCAAGAAAATATTATATAAATAGCATACGTTGTTAAATATTAGATGAGATTGCAATAAGTTGATTAGTAAGATTAATGTTATATATATAGCTAATAAATTTAGTAATCATGAAAAAACGATAAACATTAGATGAAATCCAATAACTCAACCTCAGTAATGTCATAAAAATCGAATTAAATCCAATGAAATTTACACACACGAAAAAAGGAAAATCAGACAAAATAAGCTAAACTATCACACCTTGGATAGAAGCGAATGAATAATGGATAAGAACCCAAAACACAACAAACAAAACTCCCCGAGAACGCGTAAAAAAAGAGCAACAAACAACCCACTCCCCACCCCACACCCACCCCTCAAAAAAATAAATAAGTAAACCACGAGAAATCCTAATGAAAAAAAAAGACTACCCCACCCTCCACCCCTAAAAAAAAACTACGAGAAATCCTAATAAAGAAAAAGAAAAAAAACAAAGCAACAAACTACCCACCCCACCCCAAAAATAATAATAATAATAATAATAATAATAATAAAATAATCATAAAAAATAAAAATCAATAAATAAACCACGAGAAATCCTAATGACGACCTCCCACTTCCCCCCTTCTTATCCCTCTCTTCCCCCCTTCTTATATCTCTTCT